CTACCATGCTATAGTTTGCGTGATATCTCTCCAGACATACCATCATGCAATGAATCGGTTGAAGTGATGTGATGTATACTAGTAGCTCGGTCATGTCTGCTGCATGTTCAGCATGAAAATGTAAGCAATAGTTCATTCTGAACCGGACAAATGCAACTTGAAACTGATTGCGGTCCTACCATGATTATGATTAGTAGTACTACTTTCCAGGTCAAAGCTATTAAGGTCCGACCTATATGTCCAACCTACTCCGGTGATGATTAAGGACTACTCATATCACAATAAGTCACTGAATAATGACTTGGAAAGGTCAGTTCACTCCAAACATGACTTGAAACTTCAATATTGACTCGCAGATTAAGGTCCAACCAATACGCTCCACTTACGCTGCAGCAATACTTTAGCAGGTGTGTGCCCATCATCTCACAAAGAGCAGATGTGCTGATTTCATCCATGCCATGCACCGCACTTACAATTAGTTATATCTACAGCATTTGCAGTGTAGTACTCAGCACCATGGGCCATCAACATTTGAACAGAGGCTCGTAATTAATACAGTCCAATGAATCAATGGAGGCTCATAATTAATACAGTCCAACAAATCGAAGCTTCTGAAGCTCTCTTTGATTTCCTCTTTTTTCTCTCTCCATACCAAACGACACTGTTGCTTCACCATACCCTATGGCCCCTCCAATCAAATACAAAACCAACGTGGCTAAGCTTCAAGCTATGAAAGCAAGTGTTCCCGGTACTATGCTAAGTAAGTATCATCTATTTCATTTAGCCTACAATGCCCTGATCACAGATGCAGGTGCCGTGAAGAGATTCTTGCAAAAGGAGGGAGAAATACCACATCAACAAAAAACCGTCAAAAGGATGATGACGGCAGTGACAACAAGCACACGGGTGATGACTTGGATAAGGGTGGCGACGAGTGTGTGAGCGATGAATCAATGTACGTGCTAAATATTACTATCGTCGCTGTGTTTTTAATATAAATATTAGAGATACATTAGCTGATTGTATCGCCATGGTCAAATATGCCAAGGACGATTCATGCAGCATATTAAATCTCCACAATTATTCACCTTGGGCATCTTTGCTGAATACGTGAAGTCTATCCCAGATGCTCCCGGAAGCCATGGAGATAGAGAAATTCTCAAGCATGTGATGTCAAGCATTGAGGACCTCCTTGACAGGGCTAGTTGAGGACAAGATGGTATCCTTCAACTATGTGGGGTTTTGTGATGAGTGGTGAGCCACAGATCAGGTGTGCAGGAGCATGAGGGACACCATTGCTATGGTGGAAGACATCTATTGTCATGTGCTCAGCGATGGAGATGCTGAGTTAGCAGTAGTTCATTTACTCAAGGGATTCTTGTACCAGAACTACACAGAATTTTGAGTAGGCTCAAGAGGCTTACGCACTAATGTCACTTTGAATTGCATATTTCACATTGAGATTCACGCTTCGCTACTATGTAAAAGCTTCAGGTATACATTACATCAACACCTCCGTTTCACCACGGTCAATCGCCTCTTCCATCAACTGAATGCCTTCGGCTACTGAGCGGACCTTCGAAAAAGAGGCCCTGCTCATGCCGGTCACATGGGAGGAGGTCTGTTGCCTGTTGGCGAATCCCTAATCAGCTGCTGTGGTTCTGAAATAATGTGAATCACTTACCAAGTAGAGAATATGCCAATGCAGCGGCCATGAGTCACCCAGTAGAAGGGTCCCATAGCGTCAGCCACTGGCACATGGTAGGTCACATTGACCTGAGGCACTACAGCCAGTGGAGCAGGCACTAACACAGGTGACACAGTGATAGCTGGAACAGGAGTTGATGCTGGAATGGGTGAAGCTGATGCCGAAGTGGTTGAAACAGCGCTGATAGCAGAAACAGCGGCAACCAACACATTCTGGACCACATCGTGGATCTTGGAGGTCATGTCAGACGCTTGATGCCTGTTACGACTAGGATAGGTCTTCTTGACACAAGCGTGAATGTGTCTGGTGGGATGTCGAGGGTGTCTTACAAGTCGATCGAAGGTTGACAGGTCTCTCCATCTATCTCGGTAAGGTAGGTGCCTCATCGAGATGAAGGTCTAGTGAGAATACGGCTAAGGCATGGGGAGCGACTTAGAAGTGCAATCGGAGGTTCAAAGGAGCAAGTTGTTTAGACAAGCTGGTTCAAGGTGAACCTAGTTCTGAGATACAACCTAGTAGATTAAAGTAAAGAACTAATACAATAATCTGTCTACTTATATACACTGTACATAAGGGTTCAAGCTCAGTCTGTATCTGAGGATCTATGCGAGTCATGGTGAGTCAGAGATAAGAGTACATGAGGTCAACCATGAGGATCAGATAAGGTACATGAGGCTTAACCTCCAATCAAGCATGAGGCACCTGCTGGTGCTCCGGATCTACATGAGGCGGCATGAGGCAACGTGCACTGGTCTAGGTGTCCATGAGGCATACAGCCTCTGGGAATCAGGTACAAGGCCTTCTAGGCCAGGGGCGGTGTCACAGCGGTCTAGACCGCTGTCGTTCTAAGTTCTAGCGGCATGTTGCCACATTGGGAGTCTAGCAGAGCGGGGGCATCTGTGGATGTTATGGTAGACTGTAACAATGCCCAGTGATGTTCATTTGGGCCAAGAGCGCAATGAGACTATCTGTAGAACACCATTAAGAAGCAGGGCGCGCTTGGGGACATTGTTGCTTACCAGTGCCATTACCACCATTACCGTCAGCAATGTGCGCCGCAGACACAACATCTATCCTGCTAGTAAGAAGCTGAGTGTGCTTGGGGACATCATTGCTTACCAGTGCCATTACCATCATCACCATCAGCAATGGGTGCTGCAGGCACAGCATCTATCGTGCTCGTGGAGATCATCATTGGGTGTAAGTGGGAGGAGAATTGATGTTGGAAGTTTGAACTGACCTCTGGCTTTTTGTACTAGGAGAGCCATCCATATTGGGTGATCCAAAAACCTTCAAATAACCAGTTCTTGCATTGCAGTTCGTGAGTTCAATGAGTCATTGCAGTTCGATGAGTCTGAGTTCAATGAGTTGCAAGCATCTGTCACACAAACGTATCACATTGTATTACACCTTCTCATGCGCAAGCCCATTGCCTGAGAGATGCTACCTACTAGGAGTTCTCGACAAGTCAATAATCAAAAACGACCCAAGCTGAATCACTATGTACCACCGTCTACCTCACAGTTGCAAGATACTGTCCATACCGCCTTCATATTTTCAGGACGTCGAGATGGGAATATGCAGGTGTCTGCTGGCCATTTGATTTGTTGCACGTCACCTTCGTCCACACTCCAGTCTTTCCATTTGCAGGGCCTGAGGACAGAAGCACCGAGTTTGATTTTGTGATGTTTGATGAACCTTCAATGTCCATGGATGCTGGCAAGATGGAACAATGGCTCAAAGTCAGAAACACAAGCGCACAGCTGGTGTGAGTGGTCGTTACTATTGCTGTTTCTTTAGCTTACTCGCTGTCCTTGTCAGGACAATCCCCTCCTTGTTTGGATAAAGGAACATGATGCCTATCTCTCAGAGATTATCCGGTTGGATGGACATGGTGAAAATGCTAGGGACACATGTCCAGGCTGTTGCACTGATTCTGCAAGATTCCGATGTTAGGATTGTGATGATATGCAACTGTACTGTGGTAAATGCTCACTGGCAAATCATGCACGGTCTCCCACCCATCGCATACAGGTATGTGATATTGATTGAGAAAGATCAAAATTTATTTATTTATTTGCAGAAATGGAACAGCGTATTCTTGAGGTATCTCTTTGAAGACATTAGGCCTCCAAGTGCAAACTGGGCATTCCATCGGTCAACCATGCATCCTCCCACAGTGGGCATTTAATGACAACTTCGTGCTGATAGATACAAACAGAATACACGAAATAGGCCTCGACTTCTGCGGTTGTGAAACATCCGAGAGATACATCAAACAACTACTTCGCCATGGATGGTTCCCTTCAACATCGACTGACCCTAGGACAGCATCAACATTTCGACTTTTGCACTACTATCAAATTCTATCTTTCGAGTCGAAGGCATCGGCTTATGAGTTCTATCATTCCCTTGTTCGACTGACAGATAATACAGGAATGGTGAAACACATGCCAGTACGCCTATATCTACACATGCTCCTTCATTTTCTTATAGTCTACTTTAGGATCGTTATGACAGATTCATGCAGATGGTTCGTGAGTGGCGGCATCTCACAATGCTGAAACGTTTCGGACGTGGTCACGATCCCAGTGGCATAGATGGTACATTGCAGGGCGAATGTGTAGTTCTATGTCCAGTGTGTCCACAGCCAGGGAACAATCTACCTGATGGCTGGCAAACTGCTACAAAAGCAAAATGGTGCATAGTACTACGGAAATTGATCACAATGTAAGCCTGATGTCTTTAGGTGGTTGTATGCAGTATTTTTAGCAATCGACGCGAACTTTCGGTTGAAGAGACGGAACATATCAAGTGATCAAGCAGACCCAAGCCTTTCGAAAGGCTGGGTGTACTTTGTCGACAAGAAGGACTACAAGGCCTTCCTGGCTGAACATCTTACTGATGTGCAGGAGGTATGTGACATACTGATTAATAAATTGATGTCTACTCACAATGTCTTACAGAAAAGCATGTGTTCAAGTCACAACACTGTCAATATGGCAGATACAAAACAGTTACAAGGGCTTACGGCTACAGGCGTGGGGACAGTAGACTGTGCTCATAATAATTTTAAATGGCCAAATGGAGTCTGGGATCTGCTGAGAAGGTGAGAAGTAAGTCACACTCTCGCTTTGCTCGTACATTCCATGTCTTATCATGCACTTGACAGGTACATCAACATGGATTACTTATTTTTCTCAACTTTGCGTGGTATGCAGCTTGAAATGCTTAATGGTCATACGACATGCATGCCAATGGCACAAAACCTCTGGGCCCACATGAAGTCATTCCCTCAATCCATGGCTTAGACTATCTCAGCAAGGTCATACACTTCTTTGTACCAAAATTCCACCTCCCCGCACATGTTGCAAAATGTCAGATGATCTTCTCATTTAACTTCACGCGTTTTGTTGGCCGGACGGATGGTGAAGCCCCGGAGAGGGGCTGGTCGAATATCAACCCCGTGGCATCAAGTACGAAAGCAATGGGTCCTGGTTGTTGTTGTGACACGCTGGACGACCACTTCAGAGATTGGAATTGGAAAAGACTGTCGGTTGGGCGCGTCTCTCCTGTACAAGATGAAGGATGCTCTCGCTGAGAAGGCTGCGCATGCACTCGCATTTGAGGAATTTGACGCTGTCATCACTCTCGAGCATCACTCTGCATGGTTAGCAGAAATGCAAGCTTGGGAGGATAATCCAAATGACACGTCGATCTCTAATCCACTCAAGGCCAAAGCCATGGGTGAGTATTTTCTGTTATTATACAGTTACCTTGGACTAATGATTATGATTTTGTCTAGCTATAATGCAAGCAGGAGTAAGGCTAAAGCTTGCGGAGCTGGAGGCTGAGGAGCTTCAGCAAGGTATAGACTCTTTGCACCCAGAAATTTCGCCTAGCATGCTCATTGCTTCTGGCATAGACCTGGAAGAGGAACAGTAAGTAATTGCCCTCTGACGGTCATAAATAAGCTGACATACTTGGAAGGCATCGTCTGGCCAATATCACTGAGTCGATGGGTCAACATGCTACCGACACGCAGAAAGGCAGTCTCATGCAGATGCGGAACTCACTTCGTTGTAGGATCAATATGTGGCAACGTACACAGGTCCTTTACCTCCCGGCCATCAAGGCCTTATTAATTAGGCAGCCGCATGTGAAGGCCATGAGAATGCTGAATGTATACACCTGTGGTTACCTTCACAGCTGGGAACCAAGCCATGCAATCCACACCTATGAGATGATGAATGGCAATTGCGCTATGTGCAGGCCCATGATGCGCTAGAAGAACTTCGGCAGTGTCTACGGATTCAATGCTCCTTACTGACATTCAAAAGGGAATGGGTGCGTGGTCAAGGTGCAAATACTCATGCTCAGAATGCCCTTGCCTGCATCACCGAAGGCGCACGGCCTGCGCAAAAAGATACCAGTCAGCGTGGATGGTGCTCAAGAGCCTAGCTACAATCATGAGAAGAACAGTTGGCAGGGCAGGTTGGAGGAACTGGCAGACGATCACGTCAAGCCCTCATGGACCCATATGCTACTGGTGAAGGTGTTACGACAAGCGGTCGTGTGCGACTAGGATAGTTCTAAACAGCGACAACCACGACAGTGGTACCGAGTGCTGAGAGTCGTCGGCCTTTACAGACAAGCAAAGGTTGCGTACTCGAACGTAGCTCATGGTGGTTAACGAGGGGTTACGCTGAGATGATAGCAGAGGTTACAGACAGTGAGAGGCGTCACTGAAGGTACGAGTCGATGTCGAGCGGGTGGCTTTAGTGGGACAAGGAGTTCAAGGGAAAACCTAGTAAGATTAAAGTAAGGAACATCTACTTTAATCTTCGACCTTATATAAGGCTACTCTATCGTATCTAAGCTCAGCCTAAAGCTGGGTTCTAATATGCTTATCTACATGAGTCAGAGATAGCGTCCATGAGGCGGGCTTCTATCGTAGATAGCGTCCATGCGGTACGCTTCTATCAGAGATAGGATCCACGTGGTATCCTTCTATCAGTACATGAGGCAACACGAGGCTTCCTTCTATCTTGATAACATAAATAGGTCTTCTAGACCTATGTGTATGTCATGTCACGTGCGGTCCAGCCGCTTATCTAAGCCGGCAGTTGCCGCTTATTGTCTATCACATCTATCGTCATCTGTCGTCATCTATTGTCATAGAGCCAATGATGCTCTGTTGTCGTCTATAGAGCTGGTGAGGCTCCGGTGTCGTCTATAGCGTGCGAGTGGCAGAGGGCTGTCTGCCGGCGGGGGACTCGTGCCATGTTACTGTAACAGAAGGGAGACATCATATATTGTGGATTTGGATAATGGATGGTGTTGATCATGGTGATGATGGTGATGACGATGGTAAGCACTCGTCATGGTCTATATTTTGCAAACTAACATACTATAAGGTGTGCGAATTGAGTGGTGCAAAAGCCATG